CTGAGTATCTAAGACACCTAGTATCCGAGGGGAGCCTTGGGGGCCGGGGCACGCAATTGCTCTCAGACAGCGAATGTGCGTCCCTGACACATGATGTGGCCCCCTGCTCCCGCCATATCTGCCCCTCCCAACCACCGTGCAGATGGTATTTCCCTCCGCCCCTCCCCATTCCCTCGTCCAATGTCCTCCAAACCGTTACCCCATGCTGGGCTCGGCTGTGACCTTGGTGGATTACCCCCCCCCATCCCCTTTGGTCGTCCTCCCGGTTCCCCTTAAAAAATTATTAAAAACCCTAATTAAAAAACCCCTTAATCCCCGCTTTGAAACATGCCACCTCTCAGGGCTCCAAAGCCCATCCTTAAGGTAGGCCTTTGATAACGTGGAAGGCCATCGCCGCGAGAGGGGGGCATCTCGCAGCGCAAGCAGGTCTGTCGTGGTATAAGCCATACATAGATGAGAGGTAAAAAGTCTGGTCAGGAGTTTGATAAATAGTCTAAGATGTTGGAGCAAGATGGATCTCAAAGCCGGTAGCTGGACTCCACTGCCCTCTCACTGCAGTGGGAGGAGTCCCGTGTCATTTCATCAAGAAATGACATTATGGTAGTGTTGGAAGAAATATCCATCTGGTTCAGTTCCAAGCCAGGAGAAAGACACTGGAAACATGGGAGTCTCACATAGGAATTTCCTCCCTACAGAGAAGCACCATTTGTCCTGAGTTTCAAGCAAACAATTAAGGCCTGCTTATTTTAACCAAGTGGAAGAGGGCTTTTGAACCCAGAATCTTATTTCTGGTTACGATCCTCTACTTAAATACCATTTAAAAGTGTGTATGAGTGTAAATGGAACTCAAAATCAGAGTATGTTTATTCATAAGGATGTTAGACAGGGTTGCTTTTTAATCTCTATATCAAAAATATTCCAGGATTCCTGTATGGTTCAGACATCACATGTCAAAGATCCATGGTAAAGTTATTAATATTCTTTTAAATGCTGATGATATGGCTCTAATAGTGCATTGTCAATTAGACAATGAGAACAGTTCTGAGAAAACTGTTGCATTCTCAATTCTAAATATAAATAGCATTAAATCTAAATTGAAGGTGTGTAGCAAGTAAAATGGCTATTAAAATGGGGTGCCTGTTGAACAAGTGAATTCTTTCATTATTTAGGACTAAAAGTTTACCAACACAAGTTTGAAGATAAATCATTTTAAAAGAAGTTTGATGAAAGCTAAGGCAAGTACCAAAACTTTATATGTTGTTAAGTGTGAAGTCATGTCTGACCCATCGCAATCCCATGGACAATGTTCCTCCAGGCCTTCCTGTCCTCTACCATCCTCTGCAGTCCATTTATGCTCATGCCTACTGCTTCAGTGACTCCATCCAGCCAACTCGTTCTCTATCAACCCATTCTTTTTTTGCCCTCAATCTTTCCCAGCATTAGGCTCTTCTCCAGTGAGTCCTTCCTTCTCATTAGGTGGCCAAAGTATTTGAGTTTCATCTTCAGGATCTGGCCTTTTAATAGACTGTTTTATATAAACCATGTGCCTGGTCTTGGATTGCCGAAGGATTTTTTTTTTCATTTGACGTATGAAATCCACACAAGCCATATCAAATTGGCTAGTCATGCAACATAGAGTGGTGAAAAAGTATCAGTGTTCAAGAAAGCAGTCCAAATTATCCACAATAAATTGAGAATAGATTGGGAGAGGTAGAACAAGGAACATCTGGTCTAATTGGATGGGAGATGGACAAAGCAGAATTTTACTTAAGATTTCAAAACGTGGAAGAAGAAAAAGGGGAGAACTTAGCTGAGATTATGAATACAATGCTAGCTGATGTCTTAGAAGTTACTAAAGAGAAGATGATGGAAGGAGTTGATGAAATTTATCGAGTTTACACTGGATATACAAAGTGTAATAAGCTCCCAAGAGAAGTACATATAAGATTTACTAAGAAATCAGTCAAGGCACAAATTCTTCAGGCTGTCCGTGATAAGGTCTTGAAATATAAAGGGAAAGAAGTGACAGTTTTGAGACAAATTCCAAGAAAAGTCAGAGAGTTAAGAAGAGGATACCAATTTCTGACCAAAGTTTTGCTGCAAAAGGGGACTAACTATAGATGGCTGTTCCCAGAAGGAGTAGGCCTAACATGGCAATTCCAAAGATATAGATTGAATACAATTGAGAAAGCAAGAGCCTTCTATGAGGAAGTCCTTAAAGAGAAAGAAAGAGAAAGAAGTAGATATGGAAGCTGAAACTCAAACAACAGTAGTAGTTCCAATAAAATTCACTGAAGAAGAATTGATAATGCTGGAAACAACAGAAGGAGCGGTTGGTGGAGTTGTGGAACATAAGGAACAATGTGAAGCCAGATCGACTAGAGCAACAAAACCTATTTATAAAGTATGAACATGGAAGAAAGGAAATTAATTTCAATAAATGTAAATGGCCAATAAAAGAAGAATAGTATTTCACAAATTAGAAAAATTAAAATTTGACATAATTTGTTTTCAGGAAGTGCATATTAAAAAACAACATGAACAATTATTGATTCAACCAAAACTTGGCAAAATGTTTTTATCATTGTCACAAAGTAAAAAAAGAGGAGTTGCTCTATATGTTAGAAATGTATTAATGGCAGAGCAGAAATACGTTGACCCAGAAGGTAGAATTTTGATGGTGGAAATAATTGATAACAATATAAAAATACTTTTAGTAGCAATTTATGCTTCTAATAACAATCAAAGTGACTTTTATAGAAAACTACATAATAAAATAATTGAAATGGAGTATGAGAATGTTTGCATGATGGGAGACTTTAATGGAATTGTGGATGAGGAATTGGACTATAAAACACACAAAATAACAAGACATAGTAGAAAGGTACTGCTGAGAACCTTTTTTAAAATGACAGAGGAAATAAATTTGAAAGACATCTGGAGGGAGAGAAATGGGAAAAACAGACAATATACTTTCTACTCTGATAGACATTCATCCTGGTCCAGACTAGATATGATCTGGACAAGATGGAAATGACCTTGAATATTGAACAAGTGAAAATAGACACTAACTTATGGGCAGATCACAACCCGGTGATTGCTATCTGGAAAGGGCGAAAAGATAGATCTAGATGGACATTAAATAACACAATACTAAAAGAGAAAGATTTTATATAGAAAATGCAATGAGAGATGGATTTTTTCTTTAAGGAAAATAAGAAAGAAACATCGATACAAAATCATTGGGATACAATGAAGGCCTTTGCCAGAGGACTAATTATAGACTATGCAAGGAAAAGAAATATGAAGAAAAGACAAACTCTTAAAATATTGACAGATGATTTTAAAAGATTTGAAAAGAAACTCCAGAAAGATCCATATAAGATGTAAAAATTAAAATGGATATTATAAAGCATAAATGGATCTACTGGAGAAGGAAGAATTAGATCAGGGATATAAAATGGATTGGTTTTCATACAGGTGAAACTCGAAAAACTAGAATATCGTGCAAAAGTTCATTTATTTCAGTAATGCAACTTAAAAGGTGAAACTAATATATGGGATAGACTCATTACATGCAAAGCGAGATAGTTCAAGCCTTGATTTGTCATAATTTTGATTATTATGGCTTACAGCTCATGAAAACCCCAAATTCACAATCTCAGAAAATTAGAATATTACATGAAATCAATAAAACAAGGATTGTACATAGAACAATATAGGACCTCTGAAAAGTATAAGCATGCATATGTAGTCAGTACTTGGTTTGGGCCCCTTTTGCATCAATTACTGCCTCAATGCGGCATGGCATGGATGCTATCAGCCTGTGGCACTGCTGAGGTGTTATGGAAGACCAGGATGCTTCAACAGCGGCCTTCAGCTCTTCTGCATTGTTCGGTCTCATGTCTCTCATCTTTCTCTTGGCAATGCCCCATAGATTCTGTATGGGGTTCAGGTCAGGCGAGTTTGCTGGCCAATCAAGCACAGTAACCCCATGGTCATTGAACCAGGTTTTGGTACTTTTGACAGTGTGGGCAGGTGCCAAGTCCTGCTGGAAAATGAAGTCAGCATCCGCATAAAGCTTGTCTGCGGAAGGAAGCATGAAGTGTTCCAAAATCTCCTGGTAGACGGCTGCGTTGACCCTGGACTTAATGAAGCACAGTGGACCAATACCAGCAGATGACATCAACACAGACTGTGGAAACTTCACGCTGGACTTCAAGCATCTTGCAGTGTGTGCCTCTCCATTCTTCCTCCACATTCTGGGTCCTTGCTTTCCAAATGAGATGCAAAAGTTGCTCTCATCAGAAAAGAGGACTTTGGACCACTTTTTTTCTTTAGCCCAGATAAGACCCTTCTGACGTTGTTGTTCAGGAGCGGCTTGACAAGAGGAATACGACATTTGAAGCCCATGTCCAGGATTCGTCCGTGTGTGGTGGCTCTTGATGCACTGACTCCAGCCTCAGTCCACTCCTTGTGAAAGTCCCCAACACTTTTGAATGGCCTTTTAACTGACAATCCTCTCCAGGCTGCGGTCATCCCTGCTGCTTGTGTACCTTTTTCTTCCACACTTTTCCCTTCCACATAACTTTCTATTAATGTGCTTTGATACAGCACTTTGGGAACATCCAACTTCTTTTGCAATTACCTTTTGAGGCTTTCCCTCCTTATGGAGGGTGTCAATGATGGTTTTCTGCACAACTGTCAGGTCAGCAGTCTTTCTCATGATTGTGCTTCCTACTGAACCAGACTGAGAGACCATTTAAAGGCTCAGGAGCCCTTTGCAGGTGTTATGGCTTAATTAGCTGATTAGAGTGGGATACTTTGAGCCTAGAATATTGAACCTTTTCACAATATTCTAATTTTCTGAGATTGTGAATTTGGGGTTTTCATGAGCTGTAAACCATAATCATCAAAAGTATGACAAATCAAGGCTTGAACTATCTCGCTTTGCATGTAATTAGTCTATCTCATATATTAGTTTCACCTTTTAAGTTGCATTACTGAAATAAATGAACTTTTGCATGATATTCTAATTTTTCGAGTTTCACCTGTATCTGGATCACGCGATCTGGTAGCGCCACCAACAGGAGGCTCCTCCTACCTGCCCGGATGTCATCACGTCCCGTTTTTTACCTTCTGCGCATGTGTGAAACGTGCTTATATTTGCGAACCAGTAGCGAAGGTAAGTGAATACCAACCCTGACTAGTACCTATAAATTTATTAAAGAGTTTTTAAATATTGGTATGTTTTAAAGATGAAAGTATATTTCTATATGCCCAGGACTTGGAATATATCATTATATGAAGCATTATGGATTTATAAAGTATGGAATGCAGATTTTACTGTTTATACCCAGATTAAATCTTAGATTAATTATATATGTTTCCTTTCCATATATAAATGGGCACATGGTATCATTAAAAAGTTGAGCAATATTATTTTGTGTGGTCAAACATGTGATCAGCACATTTAAAACTTGGGTTGAGTGATTTTTCAAAGTTTAACATAGGCTGCTCATGTTATCTTTTTCTGATGATTTTTGCAAGGATTTTTTTAAATTTAGTTATTGGCCCATTCTTTTTTCCCTTTGGAACAGTGGTTCTCAACCTTCCTAATGCCGGGACCCTTTAATACAGTTCCTCATGTTGTGGTGACCCCCAACCAGGGGTGGGTTCCAATTTTTTTTACTACCGGTTCTGTGGGCGTGGCTTGGATGTCATGTGACTGGGTGGGTGTGGCTAGCTGGTCATGTGACCGGGTGGCCATGATTATGTGTATAGGGACTACTCAGAGGGCTGAAAAAAGTCATTTCTGACAGGTCCTCACGTTTTTGACTGGTCCTCACACTTATGACTATCCTCACATTTATGCCTGTGCAGCATTCTTAACAACCATGTCACTCATTTCACAACTGCTTCTCTTCACCATGGTGATAAGATAGGGCAAAAAACGTAAAATGTGAGGACAGTCGTAAATTCGAGGACTGGTCAAAAGTGCGAGGACCAGTCAAAAATAACCTTTTCAGCCCTCTGAGTAGTCCATGTGCACAAAAGGACTACCCAGAGGGTTGAAAAAAGTGATTTCTGACAGGTCCTTGCACTTTTGACCGGTCTTTGCACTTATGACTGGTCATCATTTATGCCCATTGTAGCATTCTTAACAACCGTGTCACTCATTTCACAACTGCTTCTCTTCACCATGGTGACAAGATAGGGCAAAAACGTAAAATGAGGACAGTCGTAAGTTCGAGGACTGGTCAAAAGTGCGAGGACCAGTCAAAAATAACTTTTTCAGCCCTCTGAGTAGTCCATATGCATAAAAGGATACAGCGATGGAGAGGGATGAAGGAAGGGAAGGGAAATTAGAGTAGGAGTGAGGGTAAGAGGGGGAGGAAGAGAGGAGGAGAAGGAGAAAGGAAGAGGAAGTAGGGAGGAGAAGAAGAGGGGGGGAAGAGAAAGTAAGAAGGAAAGAAAAGAGAGAGGTGGTAGGTTTGAGGAGAAAAATTGCTGTAAAAAAGATGAAAGGGAAGAAAACCAACCACAAACAAATATAAAAATATTAAGATAAAGAATGAATTGTTAAACTTTAAAGAATAAAAAAGAACAAATATGAATAGCAATAATTAGAAACACACATACAAACATACAATGTATTTTCTTTGAAATTTAAATGGTGTTTAGTCATTTCAATTAAATTTACAATTTCTATATTTCCTTTTTGCCATATTTATTCCTCATCTATTTTTTAAACAAACCAATATTACCCTTCATCCTCATCTCTAATCTTAATCAAATTCAATTTTTCCCTTCTATTCTATATTATACCCCTTCGCATTGTCATCTATTTTTATATCCATCCTCACATTGGTTAATTATGTAATTATGTAATACAGTTGTTTAATACAAATTCAACATTTTAATATAAATCAATTAGTTATATAACTATCTTTTTTGTATATTAATCAATATGAACATGAATATTCCAATTATTTCCATGCAATCCAATTTCTTACAATTAATTATATTTACCAATAATAATAAACCAAATAATTTTCCCCCTATATTCCTCCAAACCACAACTTAACCGTTTCTGCTTTCAACACAATATACAATTAATAGTATCTCAATTATTACAATTCCCTAGTTAAATAGAGCTTTTTTTCTTTTGTGTTTTAAAATCTTGAACCTCCTCTTTTGCCCTAAATTTCCCATTGTTTGCAGTTTTGCACCAACCTTTTTTGGTGAGGAAAAGGAAAAAGAAATCTCTCTCTGCCTCATTTTGTCACGTTGCAGCAAAGACCCTGCTTTACTTTCAGTTTCGCTTTTTCAGCATAGCTAGGGGGAAAAAATGTGCTCCAACAATTTACCTCTTCGCAGCTAGCTAGTAACAGAGCCCTCCGCAAAACAGCTGAGAGCAAATCAGCTGAGAGTCGGGAGGCTGATCAAATCAACTTATGGTAATTAACCTATGCTGAAGCTGAAAGGGGCTGTTTTTTCTATTTTTGCAGGCACTGGTCTACTCATTTGTTTTCTTTTAACACTGATCAGCTGTAGGACGGCCCTTTGAAGCCCCACAGCAAGAATTTAAACAGTTTTTTCCCCTCTAGCCATCAGCTGGGACTCAGGAGGCAGCAATAGATTGGGAGTGGGCGGGGTAAGCGAACAGCGATCCAACAGAGGCAGAGGGTGAGGGTGAGTGAAGGCATGGGGGGGGGTGAGAGAGGGCTTTGGTGACCTCTGTGAAATGGCCCTTCGACCCCCAAAGGGGTCGCGACCCCCAGGTTGAGAACCGCTGCTCTAGAAAGTGTGGGCCCATCCATCATTGGGTTCATTTTATCTGGTACAATTGGATGATAATATCATGCTGTGTAGAGGAAATTAGGATCTAATGCTTTATTTTTGCACAGAAATAAAAATGCACATTTGGGATCCAAGTCCAACTCAAGTGTGCCTACAGATATGCAACAGTTTTTATACCAGAAAACCACAACTACACATCAGAATTTCCTTATGTTTCATCACGTGATCCTGATTTATTGGAGACATGTAACATCCAGTGGTAGGTTTCAAAAAAATTTTACTATTGGTTCTGTGGGTGTGGCTTGGTGGACGTGGCACAGCTTGATGGGCATGGCAGGGAAAGGATACTGTAAAATCTCCATTCCCACCCCACTCCAGGGGATGGATACTGTAAAACGTTCATTCCCTTCCCAAACCAGGGGAAGGTTACTGCAAAATCCCAATTTCCTCCCAATCAGCTGGGACTTGGGAGGCAGAGAATAGATGGGGGTGAGGCCAGTCAGAATTTTTACTACCGGTTCTCCGAACTACTCAAAATTTCCACTACCGGTTCTCCACAACTGGTCAGAACCTGCTGAAACCCACCTCTGGTAACATCCCATAATAAGCATAGAGAGTGTACTTAATTATCTAAGTTCTTCACCTGTAATTTGTTTCTAACATATTAATGATAAACTTTCTACCTTTGGACTTTGCCTGGACATTCTTGATAGCACTTAAGCTAAATGCCACATTATCTAAGGCGGGGGGGGGGGGGGGGAAAGGGGGGTGGGCTTGACCCCCCCCTTTGATATTTTTAATTTTTTAATTGGTTTTAGTTGGGATAATTTTAAATTTTATTGGGCCAATACTAGTTTAATTCTTTTAAAATTTTAAATTTTGTATGCACTGTTTTTATCTTTGGCTCTGGCCCTGAGTCCAGCAGGAGAAGGGCGGTATAAAAATCGAATAAAATAAATAAAAATAAATCTTTCCCTGTTCTAGCAAGGGGCCCACTTGCGCAAATCTTCAGCAACAACCTGCCAGTTAGACAGACATTTCTTACATAATGAAGCATTTAAGGTCAGCCTCCTTAGCTCTTTGCTAACAGATACCAAAGCCAGTGCTAAATTAGATTGCTGATTTCAGCAACAGAATGAATTGCATGTATCATTTGCAAAAGCACCTAATAGTTTGATAATAAGTTAATAGGCCAGACCCTCAGATCCTCAATGTATCTCCCTTCCTCCTCCCCCAATTTAGTGCTGAAGCCAAACTTTCTGCCTCTGCCCTCCAATCTCCCTCCCCTTTAATAACTTAATTTGCTAAATTTACTATGCGCGTAAAGAGGGTGTCAAAATGTGTGACTTACCTTGATGAATGACGGGCTGGTTGAAGAGCGGAGAGAAAGAATCACCCAGGAGTTTATTTTTTAAGAAAAAAAAGTGGGGAGATTGAACTGAATGGAAATATTTGGAAAGCTTCTTAATGCTTAGCTGACTTCCTTTCTAACCCAACCTCTGCCACAGCAATGTGCTATATGTGCTAAGACTTAACTTGCTTTGCAGTTTTTTTTTCAGCTTTACACACAAACTCCCAGAACAACTTTGCCTCCTTCATCTCCCCTCCCCCTGTATAAAATTTCACTCCACCCCTTCCAGCCTTCTTATCAATAAACATAAAGCTGTGATTCTACATAGTCATGTTTATGACAGGCATGCTCAGGACACATGAGCCATGTCAGAATTCATGTTTGGGTCTACTTAAAAGTGATTCTGCACACACACTGAGTTCTAGATGTGTCAGATACAGGCCACTCTGAAGTTCAACGGTTTAAACGTCTGTGTGCATTTGAAAATGATATAGTAGCCTCGGATTCCAAAGTGTTTAATAACAGTTCTGCAAATCAAATTGTTTTTTTTAATTGAAAAAGTTTTTCAAATACAGATTTTTCCCCCTTTTCCCCCCCTCCTCCCTAACCCCCTCCCCCTCCCCTCCCCCTGTGGCTTCTCCAAAATAAAACCCAAATTAGTAACAGATTATATAATACTTTCCCATCCTTTTTACTCCACCCCCCATATGCTGACCCTTTCTTTCTAACAATATTATTATATCCCCCTTATACTATACATTTCAAAGCAACATTCAGCTGTAAAATTATATAATAAATCCTAATTTAGCAATTTCTACTCATAATCTATCCATTTCCTCCTCCCCCATGCATATATCTCTTAATTCAAATCTTTTACGTATATTAATATAACATAACATCCCTTTTCCTAAACTAAACAATCAATATGCTAACCTATCTCCACCCACTTTCCTACAGGTCTACCATACATAATATTTTCAATATCTTTGTTCTTCTGCCCACACCACTAAAAAAAAAATATTTCCATATATAAATAAAATCCTCAAATGACTTTAAACTTGTAATCCATATGATATCTTCTGTAATGTCTTTCAACTGGATTGTTAATTCCATCACCCATGTTAGGGTAAGGTGACCAGACGTCCCGCTTTTGGTGGGACAGTCCCGATTTTTAGCAATTTGTCCCGCGGCGTTTCAAAAAAGTCCCGATTTTTCATTCTGCCTCCTGAGTCCCGCTGCCTCTTGAGCCCCAGATGATGGCTAGAAGAAAAAAAAACTGTTTAAACTCTTGCCCGGGGCTTCAAAGGGCCGCCCTACAGGCAATCAGTGTAAAGAGTTCCTGAAGCAGTTTTTTTTTCTCCTAGCTAAGCTGCAGAAACGAAACCGAAACCAGGATCTTTGGTGCAACGTGACAAAATGAGGCAGAGAGAGATTTATTTTTATTTTTATTTTTCCTCCCCAAAAAAGGTAGGTGAAAAACTGCAAACAATGGGAAATTTAGGAGGAGAGTTCAAGATTTTAAAACACAAAAGAAAAAAAAAGCTGTATTTAACTAGGGAATTGTAATAATTGAGATACTATTAATTGTATATTGTGTTGAAAGCAGAAATGGTTAAGTTGTGGTTCAGAGGAATATATGGGGGAAATTATTTGGTTTATTATTATTGGTAAATATAATTAATTGATTTGTAAGAAATTGGATTGCATGGAAATAATTGGAATATTCATGTTCATATTGATTAATATACAAAAAAGATAGTTTTATAACTAATTGATTTATATTAAAATGTTGAATTTGTATTAAACAACTGTATTACATAATTACATAATTAAACAATGTGAGGATGGATATAAAAATAGATGACAAATGGAAAGGGGTATAATATAGAATAGAAGGGAAAAATTGAATTTGATTAAGATTAGAGATGAGGATGAAGGGTAATATTGGTTTTTTTAAAAAAATAGATGAGGAATAAATATGGCAAAAAGGAAATATAGAAATTGTAAATTTAATTGAAGTGACTAAACACTGTTTAAATTTGTGAACCGGCCAAATACTCTGTTCAAAGAAAATAAATTGTATGTTTGTATGTGTGTTTCTAATTACTGCTATTTATTCATATTTGTTCTCTTTTATTCTTTAAAGTTTAACCATTCATTCTTTATCTTAATATCTTTATATTTGTTTGGGGTTGGCTTTCTTCCCTTTCATCTTTTTTATTGTACAGCAATCTTTCTCCTCAAACCTACCACCTCTCTCTTTTCTTTCCTTCTTATTTTCTCTTCCCCCCACCCTCTTCTTCTCCTCCCTATTTCCTCTTCCTTTCTCCTTCTCCTCCTCTCTTCCTCCCCCTCTTACCCTCACTCCTACTCTAATTTCCCTTCCCTTCCTTCATCCCTCTCTATTGCTGTATCCTTTTATGCATATGGACTACTCAGAGGGCTGAAAAAGTTATTTTTGACTGGTCCTCGCACTTTTGACCAGTCCTCGAACTTACGACTGTCCTCACATTTTACGTTTTTTGCCCAGTCTTACCACCATGGTGAAGAGAAGCAGTTGTGAAATGAGTGATATGGTTGTTAAGGATGCTGCATGGGCATAAATGTGAGGATGGTCATAAGTGTGAGGACCAAGTCAAAAGTGCGAGGACCTGTCAGAAATGACTTTTTTCAGCCCTCTGGTTAGTCCTTTTGTGCATATGGACTATTCAGAGGGCTGAAAAAGTTATTTTTGATTGGTCCTTGCACTTTTGTCCAGTCCTCAAACTTACGACTGTCCTCACATTTTACGTTTTTTGCCCAGTCTTATCACCATGGTGAAGAGAAGCAGTTGTGAAATGAGTGACATGGTTGTTAAGAATGCTGCATGGGCATAAATGTGAGGATGGTCATAAGTGTGAGGACCAGTCAAAAGTGCGAGGACCTGTCAGAAATGACTTTTTTCAGCCCTCTGAGTAGTCCCTATACACATAGCCATGGCCACCCGGTCACATGACCAGGTAGCCACGGCCACTCAGTCACATGACCAGCTAGCCACGCCCACAAAATAAGCCACGCCCACAATGGTGTCCCTCTTTACCAATCTTAAAATCTGGTCACTTATGTTAGGGTAACATCAAATTCAAATTCCAACAGTATGTTCGGTATCTTCAATTACCATCTGCCCCCATCAATGATAAATGTTTTCATATATCAAAAAACCACCCGAGTGACTTTATATTTATATTCCATATAGTGTCTTTTGTAATGTCTTTCATCTAGATTATTCATTCCAACCACCGTGTTAGGGTAACAACCAGATCTTCTGCATGCCCCAATCCCATAGTTCTATTGCCTTGTAGCTCAGCACAAGCGTAATCTATTTGTCAAAGAGTCCAAAATAGAAAGTTCCAATCCACTCAATTAAAGGCCATCTTCCACATCCCAAAAGCACAGCACTGCAGAGATCTGTCATTCTTCTCAAAATAGTATAATCCAATACTTTGCCTCAGCTATATTTTCATGTATTTAATCGTCTCTTAAGTAACTGGCATTAAACTGTTGTTTGGTCTCAAAAATTTTTATTTTTGTAGGACCTGCTTCTTCTTTTCTTAACTTTTTGTGGCTTATATCTCCATCCTGGTTGCCTTTCTAAGAGTTGTATATCAGCTGATTGATTTCCATGCTGGTCTGTAACTTGATAAGTCATCACATTAGAATCCAAAGCCTCCTCTCTTGTATTTAAAGGTGATCCAACTATAACCTCTGAAGGAGAATCCAAAAGCGGCTCATCCAAAAAGGCCTCTGTAACTTGTTGTTTTTCCATTACCTCCACCTCCATCTGCTTAGCCTGGGTTTCAATCTCTTGTTGATTTTGCTTTTCTTTATTCCCCTCATGTGTTATACATAGAGATGTTGAATCCATTTTAATAACCTTATAATAAAATTCTTCCGCTTTTTCAACAGTATTTAGTTGATATCTTTCTCCTTGATATCTCAATATTATTCCAACTGGAGCATCCCACCTAAATGGGATGTTTTGTTTCTTTAGCTCAGTCACCAAAAATCCAAAATCCTTTCTATCTTTTAACATCTTGGGCGGCAGCTCTTTAAATATCCAAATCTTCCTTCCATGCATTTCAAGAGTGGAGTTAAAAGACTTTTGCACAATATCATTTCTTATTCCTTTATCAGTAAAGTAAATCACCACATCTCTAGGCAACTGCCTTTGCTTTGCCAACCAAGAATTTTCTCTGTAGACCTTATCAATCTTACAGGATACCTCTTCAGGACTAACCTTTAAAATCCCAGCCAGAACTTCAGCAGACGTCTTTCTCAAATCTTCTTTTTTATTTTCCTGTATCCCCCTAATTCTAACCGCAAATTCCATAAATCTGAATTGCATCATTATGACTTCATTTTCAATCCTTTGTTTTGTATTATCTGCATTGTGAGTCTTGTTGTCAGCTTCCTTTATTTTTGACTCTACTTCTGAGCTATTTTCTTGAATCATTGTTAAATCATTTTCAATTCTTTGTATTTTATTATCCAAGTTAGAAATCTTATGATCAACTTCCTTCATTTTAGACTCTATTTCTAAATTAATCTCTTTATCCATCTTTATCATTGCGTCTAAGAAAGTTATCATATGTTGCTTGAATTTATCATACTTTTGTTGAACCAACTCTTTAATTTCCTGTCTAAATTTTTCAAGGTTCTGGTTCACAATCTCATCATGTCTTGCCATCTTCTCCAAAACAAATTGCGTTAGATCTTTAAAGCCATTCCTCTGCGTCTGCAAGCTCAAAACTTGTTCATGTGGTTTATAAATGGGGGAGCCCCCCCCACAGCTTGGTTGTCTGGCTTTGTCAGTTTTAACGCCATCCTGCCACACAAGCAGATTTTTTTTTCCCTTTAAAGAAGAAAACTTTTCTCCAAACAATATCAATATCAAGTCTCTAAGAAGGAAGAAGCATGAAATAGGAATTTTTCTCTTCACTTCTAGCCAGCGCTATTGTCTCAATTACTTTGTAACATATTGAACTAGTCAAATGGAAGGACTTTCGCTTTCGGCTTTCTTCTCAAGCCTCAGCTAGTCGCCATTTTAAACTTTCTTTTTCCCCCCTTCCACTCTTCTTTACTTTTAAAGTCAGTCTTAGGGTTGTTAGAAATACTTGCAATTTAGGGTCCCAGGTCCAGATTTCATCCTACTTATTCAAAGAATCTGTTAGTTTTCGTTAGTTGGTCTGGTCCCATCGCCTGGCTCTGCAAGCGCAGAGTTCTCCCGAAGCCCGGAGCAGCGGCGAGCGAAAATAGGGAGCCTCATCCTGCTTCCTCCCCAGAGACAAAAAAAGAACTCTGGGGACTTTGCAGAGGGCTCTACCTGCCCTCGCCGGCTCTGTCTCTCGTTTCCTTATGGAAACGGAGTTTTTCGAGCCGCCTTTCAGCTGTAAAGGCGGCTCTTTATGGGCGACGGGGCTGGCGGTCTCAAGGGACCGTCTGGCGGCGACGGAAGCCAAACCGGAAGCCTGCAAATCAAATTGTTAGACACCACCAATATGTGGGGCAACTCAGGGCCTCTGCTAACAGAATGCAACAAAGCCTGTTGTTGGGGTTTTGGTGAAGAAACTGATTTCTTCAGACTTATCGTTTCTGGAAACCACGTTGTAATTCTAGTGATCAGAGCAGTGGAAGACTTAGGATGTATCCTGCAATTCTCACTAGTCAGACTGTGGAATTGTGAATGGTCCATCTGTAATGCCCAGGGAAGGACACAGAGTGAATAACTGGTTTTATTTATTGTTATGTAAATGGCAGTGGTGCAGGGAGCACACTAACAGGATATGTTTCATATTTTGCAGACTCCGAATTAACACCCAGCAACAATCAGTTCAAGCATCTTATTTTTTATACATCTATGGAAATTGTAATAGTCACAACTCTCCTGAAGGTTTTTCTGATGTAAAATATAGCCACTGTCAGAGAACATGCTATTTCCATAGTGAGTTAAAAGAGATGCAATTCAAGTGAAGATCGACTTCCTGGTGATTGTTGGAATGATCTGCAGGGTACAAATTGTCCAAAAAAGGCCATGTATTTTACTGTACAATAGCATGTTATAGAGGGTAGAACAATAAACAGCGGATGAAAGCTCATTAAAGACAGAGCCAACCTTGAACAAAGGAGAAATTTCCTGATAGTAAGAACAGTTTAACAGCTTGCCATCTGGGTGCTCCATCATTGGAATTTTGATGAAAACATTGGACAACCATTTGTCCAGGTCTCCTGCCATAGGCAGCTGGTTGGACTAAAAAATTCAAGGTCCAAGATCTCTTCCAACCCTATGATTCTATTCTGTTCTATTCTTTCCTATTCTTTTCTCTCCTGTTCTGTCCTGTCCTGTCCTGTCCTGTCCTGTCCTGTCCTGTCCTGTCCTATCCTATCCTATCCTATCCTATCCTATCCTATCCTATCCTATCCTATCCTATCCTATCCTATCCTATCCAATTGACAGGACCAAATGTGTAGGAGACTTGTGTCTGAATTCCAGCTCACACAAGCAGAAAGCAGCTGCAACTGCCCATTCCATTATGGCCTTTATTTCAGATCCACATCACATTTGCTCAACTTTTTTTTTTTTTTTAATTTGATTTATATGCTGCCCTTCTCCGGAGACTCAGGGCGGCTTACAATGTGTTAAGCAATAGCCTTCATACTTTTGTATATTTATACAAAGTCATCTTATTGCCCCCACAATCTGGGTCCTCAAGTTGAGGTATGTTCTTGGGTGATCAAATAAAAATACTTCATAATATTTTGGAGGGGTTTTGAGCTTCAGCACACATGGGATGTTCTGAATATTTCATGCTTAGTATCTGCATGAAATTGCTGGATGAGGTCACCCAACAAGACATCCTGAAGGTGCTTTTTCAAAAGGCAACTGGTTTTTTTTTTTTTTTTTGGTTTTTTTCTTGAAAGCGTTTCACTTCTCATCCAAGATGTTCTTCAGTTCTGACTGAATGGTGGAGAATGGAAAGATTCTTATTCTTTGCATCATCTGGTCGTTAACATTCTTTCTTGGCACAGATAAACTTGGAGGTTTATCTGTGCCCTCAGTGGATACTGAATACTGCAAATGGGAGTGGAACATTATTGGAATTGCTGAAAGGACTGTGATGTAAACAGAAGATAGGTGGTGTTGTATTCCTGCCCCTGTGTTGAGAGAGTACTGTTAATATTAATGTATATTACAGCCTCTTTGACTTCTCTTTTGAACCAGTTGTCAGGTTTCGGTTCTGTCTTAAAATAAGTTTCATTTTCAAGCGCAGTCTCTAATGAATCATTCTTTATTAAGAACAGAAATAGCCGACATTTCTGAGGCTAATTGCAGCTCAACTGGCCCCTCCTTCCAACCCCCTCCTCTTCCGCTCTCCAACCCGATTTCTCATTGGCCATTAGCCAATCCATCTCTCCGTCCTGGCACGTACTTCTCACAGGAATGTGACCCCCACCCTCATCTCCCAGAAAACCCTATCTCTTGCATGCAGAAAACTAGGTAAAAGTTCATCTCAGCAATAATTCAGCACTTCCGGTCTTCGTGACAGCACTGGAAGAGAGCATAAGTTGGAGTGCTGACATCCGGCCCCTCTCCCTTCACTTCTGCGACATCACCTATCCCATAGGGAAAACACAAGAAGATTAGTCCCATCAGCCCCTCCCTGGCTGTGCACCCCCCCCTCCCGGCTTTCCCGGGTGGTCTGCATGGAATTTTGCTATAAGGCGATCAGCTTGGATGTTTGCGCTCTTCACCCAGGAAGCCTCTGACAATGGGTAACCCTTCCATTTAATTAAGTACTGAAGGCGCCCCCTGTGCCATCTTGAATCGAGAATCCGCTGCACTTCATAATGCGTTTGGCCCCCAACAACCAGGGGCCCAGGGGGTTCACGTGGTGTTGGCCTTAAAGTAGACCCCACTACAGGTTTTAGAAGGCTACTGTGAAAAACGGGGTGAATTTTCCCCAAAAGCCGTGGCAACTGCAATTGCACCGTAACGGGGGGGGGGGGGGGACCATCGAACTTCCCTCTGAACTGGGGTGGCTCCTCCCTCTCTGCCCTCTCCTCTCTGTGCTGAGCTCTGGAGGGCCAGCCCTGGTGTTGATAGTCCTCTGCCTCGTCTCTCATCCTGGGGTGGGGAGGTGCTGCCTTGTCTGGGCTTCGCTGCCATTCCCATCCCCAGCTCGCCCTTCCCAATTCACTTAGGGGTTTTTTCTTTATCTTTTAACTTTGCAAAAGGGGATTCCGCCTTTAAGGCTTTTGGCACAGTCCCCGGGTACTTATCTGCTTCACGTTTCTTTGCTTGAAGTTCTGCGGGGGGGGGGAAGGTGGAGAAAGTTGAACCTTTGTATTTTCCAAGTTGGCTGGAATCACGACCGCTTCTGCTCCTCCCGTTTCTTGAAGCAGGCTTTCCTCCGATAGCTTGGCTTCAGCCATAGTCCGTCCGACCAGTTGTGTGGGAGGGAACGGGATGATTTAAACTCAGCCAGCCTGGATTTGGAGGAGAGTTGAGCTGTCTGTCAGGTTTCGGTTCTGTCTTAAAATAAGTTTCATTTTCAAGCGCAGTCTCTAATGAATCATTCTTTATTAAGAACAGAAATAGCCGACATTTCTGAGGCTAATTGCAGCTCAACTGGCCCCTCCTTCCAACCCCCTCCTCTTCCGCTCTCCAACCCGATTTCTCATTGGCCATTAGCCAATCCATCTCTCCGTCCTGGCACGTACTTCTCACAGGAATGTGACCCCCACCCTCATCCCCCAGAAAACCCTATCTCTTGCATGCAGAAAACTAGGTAAAAGTTCATCTCAGCAATAATTCAGCACTTCTGGTCTTCATGACAGCACTGGAAGAGAGCATAAGTTGGAGTGCTGACACCAGTGGTGTTCTCTGTTAAGTGGTTGTTTTGTTTCTCTAATGAACATGTCCCACTGCATTGTACTGCATATATCACAGCACTCAGTTTGTGTCTGAGTGTTTTATCCTTGGAGTGGACAAAATCCTCCAGAAAGAATGGCTGCTCATGCTTTCACTAGAATAAACTGGAAGCTGCTCATGTTTACAGTAGGATAAGCTGCTTGGTTTCTCCTGACAGTCCCATTCCAGCCCACTTTCTTGAGGAATAATGGAGTCCTACCTCCTATCAAACAAAATAAAAGTAAGGTGAGAAAAGTAAGGTTCTACATTTAAGCAAGAAAAACCAAATGCACAGGTATAGAATAGGCTCATTAGTAGTAACTGTGAAAAGAATCTTGGCGTTCTAGTGGACAATCACTTGGATATGAGTCAAAAGTGTGATAGAGCTGCCAAAAAAGCCAACACAGTCCCAGGCTGTATTAGCAGGGGGACAGAATCAAGATCATGAATTAATCAGCGACATCATCAAAATACAGAAATAAATTCTGTAGTATAGGTTTTACTGTACACAAATGTCCATTAGATCTTCATTTATTTTAAAAGCAGTCAAAAGAAGGTTGAATACTGTCAAGCATTAACCCAACCCACGTCAGTGCAATCATGCAGAGGGTTATTGTAATCATTCACTGTGGGGTGGCTACCATTCTTTCCTAATGGATCAGGTTGGTGACCTCAGTACTATATGGGTTTTGACTATTTATCTTTATGATGTCTACTGATTAAAGCTACTAATAAGCTCCCATTATATTAGTACTCTATACCTTTCACTCCTGCAAGTCCCTTGGACTGCAAGGTGAACAAACAAGTCAATCCTAGATAGAGGGGGCATCACATACCGTAACAACCGGTTCACTCAGCGCTGGAAATGCATGCAGCGTCACAAAATACAGGAATTCGCTCGTGCACGCCATCCACACATGCGTCTGGCATCAAACAACACAGCAATATAGGATGGGATTGCATCCAAGTGAATGGGCGGGTCCGCCTGCAGGTCACAACTATCGGTTCGCACAAACCGGTCTGAACCAGCAGCAGCCCACCACTGTGCTGTGACCCAGGCCCAAGTAAGTAGTAGGAAAATCAGTCAGTGAAAAAACAAACAAACTTTATTTGAACAGCTGAGAATGACTTCATTCCCAGCGTCGTTCAACTAAATTAAAGCAAATTCCTCCCAACACAAATTCTCAGTCCTATCGCAAACCTTAGTCCAATTAGGCAAACTGCCAAAGGCCTTTCTTGGTAAACGTTCAGAAGTCACAGATACAAAAATAAATACAAGACGTAGATGAAGAAGAAGACAAAGTTACCAACGTTTTTTTCCGGCAAAGCTCAAAGAGCCTTGATAGTACAGTGGTCTACGCACTCTGTTATTAACACAGCTGCCTGCAATTTACTGCTGGTTCGAATCTCTCCAAGGCTCAAGGTTGACTCAGCCTTCCATCCTTTCTAAGGTAGGTGAAATGAGGACCCAGTTTGTGGGGGCAATAAGCTGACTTTGTATAAAATATACAAAAGAATGAAGGCTATTGCTTAACGCATTGTAAGCCGCCCTGAGTCTCCAGAGAAGGGCGGCATATAAATCAAATTTTAAAACAACAACAACAACAACAAAAACCCCGCTGTGCTGGTCTGTTTTAAGCCTTATGGGAGGGGCCAATCATCTCTTGGCCCTACTCCTGAGTTATCCTCTTTTCTGGAGCTGCTCTTGCCTTCTGGCAGCTCTTCTCATGCGTGCATTAGGAACAGGCTCCTCCTGTTCCTCTGCCTCACTCCTATCAGTCTCTAGAGGCTCTGGAGTCTGCACCTCACTCCCCGATGGCCCTGGCCCCATCTCTGCCTCTGACACAGAGCCCTCAACCGGGTCTTCCCCAGCCTCCAGGACTGGCCCATGTTCTTCCTCAGCCTCATCACTGTCTGACTCCACTGCCAGCTCCGCAGGCTGCTGGCGGACCACAACACATTGGTCCTAGAACAGATCAACCCTGACTCCTCTTTAGAAGATCCTGAAGATGAAATTCAAATACTTTGGCCGCCTAATGAGAAGGAAGAACTCACTGGAGAAGAGCCTAATGCTGGGAACGATTGAGGGCAAAAGGAGAAGGGGAATGAGGTGGCTGGATAGAATCACTGAAGCAGTTGGTGTGAGCTTAAATGGACTCCGGAGGACGGTAGAGGACAGAAAGGCCTGGAGGAATGTTGTCTATGGGGTCACGATGGGTCGGACATGACTTTGCAACTAACAATAACATATTAGTACACATTATAAATCCTCACAAAATGCTTTAAATATATTATTTACAAATATATTAAACAACCCAAAGGAATATAGAATAATTAATTTGTGGAACAATTTGGTTCCAGAAGTTATGGGTGCTCCAACACTGGAGCTTTTTAAGGAGAAATTGGACAACCATTTGTCTGAAATGTTCTAGGCTTTCCTGCTTGAGCAGGGGGTTGGACTAGAAGACCTCCAAGGTCCCTTCCATCTCTGTTATTATTGCAAGCCAAGAGCTCTGTAAAACCCCTCCCCTATCTCCCGCTGGGTGGCTGGAGACTGTTAAGCTAAGTGGCAAGTGGCTTTTCTTAAAAAAACCCACTGGAATCAGAATTCTGTAAATTACGCCCCCACCCCCTTCTCAAACCCTTCAAAAAGCAGTCTGGAGGCACTTGAGCTGATCAGCAGCAAATGGGTGTATTGAGCTGCTTGGAGGCAATTTAATTCCTCCTTTGGCTGTACCGGAAACAGTTGATTGATGTGGGCTGGAAGTAAGTCAGATAATTCATTTAACAAGCCATTTTATTCAATTAATGAATTTGATTTTAAAAAATTGTAAAATTGAGTCTGATTCATTTTTTTGATTTACCACCGTAATGGGCAGACTCCATTAGGTTCGTATCTCGAGGACTACTTGTATATTGCCTTGTCTTACTCCTGCTCAACCTTGAACTATTCCCTTAGCACTCAAGACAATGTTCTAACTTACCCCTAAGCTTCTAATTGCAATGCCACAGTCAATCACTGCTTGTTTCATTATAAAAGGAAGTCATTTCATCTCTGTGGAATTTGAAAAGTTGTTTGCTGCCTTGATGGATATTTCCTTTCTCAAGCCCTTCAAAAAGGAGGGAACAGAAGAATAAAGAAGCTTCTTGGATGAAAAGCAAAATGTCTTCAAAGAAAAACCAGAAAGTCCAGCCTTTTTCCAGGCCTCTTGAAAAAGAATCTTTGGGAGGAGTAGAAGAATGATGTGTTCTTGTTGTATCTCTTCTTCAGGAACTTGATGTACCCAAAAGCTTCAGAATAAAACATTTTTTCCCTTTTGGCCTCTCTACATACTTTTTTCAGGGGAAAAAAAAAAACCCTAACTGAATTATCTCTAAAATATCTGCTTAGCTGCATAAACCAGAGAGTTAGCAGGACTGTGATTTTCAAGTTCTTGGCAAACTCACTGGGATAGTTTATACTGAGTGGAAAAAACAACAACAGCAAAAAAACAAAACAAAACCCGAGGCATGAAGTCGTCTGCCCTTGAAATGTAAAAGTTAGCAAAAGTTTGTTCAGAACATTCACAAATGTCCAACCATTGATAAAAGGGAGCTCTTGATGCAGCTGCATCTCTATTTATATAGAGCATAGAATCATAAAACTAGAAGGGATCTTGACCTTCTAGTGGGTTGCTCCCGGTTCGCACCGGTTCGCAAGAACTGGTAGTAAAAATTTGTAGTAGTTCAGAGAACCGGTTATAACATTGGCTGGCCACGCCCCCGAACCAGTCCCGCTCACTTACCCCACCCACCTCATCAGAGGCTTTTTTTTTTAGTTTTAAAAGCATTTTTTCTACAACTTCTTCAGCGGAAAAAATGCTTTTAAAAGTAAAAAAAAAGCCTCTGATGATCCCATGGCTCAGCTGAAATCGTCAGAGGCTTTTCAAAGCATTTTTTCTTCAGCCGAAGAGGTGGTAAAAAAAATGCTTTGAAAAGCCTCTGACGATCCCAGCTGAGTTGCCTGATCGTCAGAGGCTTTTCAAAGCATTGTTTTCTGCAACCTCTTAAGGTTGTAGAAAAAATGCTTTTAAAAGTAAAAAAAAAAAAGTTGACCACGCCCACCCAGTCACATTAAAATAAGCCACACCCACAGAACCGGTAGTAAAAAAATTTAGAACCCACCCCTGACCTTGACCATCTTCTGGTCAACCCCCTACTGAAGGAAGATGCCTTGGACCATCTTAGTCAAATGATTTTCCAATCTATTTTCGAAAACCTCCAGTGAAGAAGTACCCACAACTCCTGAAAGCAAGTTATTTCATTAAGTGTTCTCATAGAAATGTATTCATATTTTAAATTGGCTCTTTCTTCAACAAGCTTTCACTTATTATTTCTTGTCCTGCCCTTTGGTGCTTTGGAGAATTAAATCAGTCCCCTCTTCTCTGCCCCTCAAATACTGGAAAACAGTTATCATGTTCCCCTAATTGTTCTCTTCAATAGACTAAACAAACCTAAATCACTCATTCATCATATGACTTAGCCTCCAGATCCTTTATCATCTTTGTTGCTCTTCTCTGAACACTTTCTTGAGTCTCAACATCTTTTTTGTATTGCAGTTTGGTATGAAGCAGTACTATCACTTCCTGTGATCTTGATGCTATCCATCTGTTGATGCAGCCCATGACTGCATAGGCTTTTCTGAAAGCAATTTTTTTGACAAATTATTCCTGTTGACCTTAACCAAAGAGCAAGAGGGGAAGGGAAGGGAATAGTCTCACCTGAATAATTTTCTCATAGTACAGGGTGATAATATTGAGAATATTGAATTCTATTCCAGAGGTGGGACTCAGCCAGTTCAGACCAGTTCGGGCAATCTTGTTAAATTTTTGCGCAGTTTGGAAAACTGGCTAATCGCACCCCTGGCTGGCCCCGCCCCTCCCTACCTGCCCCTCCCCTCCCCTCCCCACCCCTCCCACTCACCTTACCCACCTTGGCCGATGCCTAGAATCACCCCTTCAGCATAGCTCTCTGGTTCCCTCGCTTGCCTCGACAGCTGATCTCTGCCTGGTGAGCCTTCCTTTGCTCCTCACTCTGCTGTCTCCCCTGCGACCCAGCCTACTTTCCTGTCTTCCCCATGGCCTCCCTGTGGCCCCTGTGGCCCAGTCATCTTGTCTGACTTGCCCGCAGCCTCCCATGTGGCCCATGCAACCCAGCCCTCTTACCTGCCTTCCCCACGGTGTTCCCTGTGGCCCCTGCAGCCCAGCCTGCTTGCCTGTCTTCCCAGCAGCCTTCCCTGCAGCCCCCGCAGCCCAGTCCTCTTACCTACTTTCCCTGTTTAGGTTTAGGTTTTATTACACTTCTACACCGCCCTACACTTACAAAACACATATACACTGCCTCCCCCGCAGACCCACAGCTCAGCTGATCTCTGCATGGGCAACTGGGTGTGTGGCTGACACTTGGCCCTCTCTTCTTCTTGCTCATCCTCCTTCCCTTGTGCTGGCCACTCCATTTCCCATTTCTACATTGCAGCGCAGCGCCAAGGATCCACTTTGATAGCGGGGGGGGGATGTTTTAGGATGGAAGGCCACCCACCCACCTGGCCAGTGTCTTAAGAAAAGATTCCCTGTGGGACAGAAGTTTTAGAAAAGATTCCCTGTGGGACAAATGTTTTGTCTAGAAGGAAAGCATCCAGAAACCAGTTTGTTCGCAAGTAATCCAAATATTATGTCCCTTATTTCCCACAACTAGATATTTTTAAATTGCACACTTGTAGCGTAAGTACATAGACTTAGTTTATTATTTAGTAGAAACAAATTCTATTCACAAAGGAATAAGTAGGGGGTGGGAAATTTGGAGGAGCTGAAATTGCTGTTCACTTCTTGCATTATCCCTAGCTTCTGCAGCTTCATCTACTATTATTTTCATTTTAGAATGAAAAGGGCTTAAATAGTGGTGAAATCCAATTTTTTTTACTACCGGTTCTGTGGGCGTGGCTTGGTAGGTATCGTGTGGCTTGGTGAGCATGGCTTTGTGGGTGTGACAGGGGAAGGATACTGCAAAAACTCCATTCCCACCCCACTCTGGGGCCAGCCAGAGGTGGTATTTGCGGTTCTCCGAACTACTCAAAATTTCCGCTACCAGTTCTCCAGAACCTGTCAGAACCTGCTGGATTTCACCCCTGGGTTTAAAGTTGCAAAAATAATAGTTCTATACTAAAGGGGCATTTCTCAGGATGCTGCATTGTCTATTTAATGCAATCACATGGGATGATCACAGAACACAAATGTATAAATTGGTAACTTCCCATGTTGTACTTTACAGACCTAGACAATCATAGTATTTGCAGAGTTCTTGGGGAAAGGTATTTGGGGGGGGGAAGCATATTTCTTTATTAGAGCCTCTCATCAAACAAAGAAGCAGAACCAAAAAATTATCTGGTCCCCATACAACGGATTCAAAGCATCCCTAACCTTGTCTTTTCCTGCAAGTTATGGGCCATGTACCAATAGCTTTGCCATCCCCTCCCTTTCTTGTTTTGAATTTCCTATCCAAATGTAATTGGATTTTTTGACTTGGAACCAAAGGTATCTAAGCTCAGACTGCCATTTCTTCTGTCCCGGATAGGACATTTTATGGTGATACAGTTTTCTTCCAGATAAATAATTGATGGGTATTTAGTTATCAGGAAGGTGATGTCTCTTTCAATAATAGAATATTTTATTTTAACAAGAAAAGAAGTAAAAATATACAGAGAAAATTGGGGTAAGAAAATGAAGAGAAAAATCAAGAAATGATACTATAAAAGTTTTTCTTTTGTATTGTTGCTAAATGTAATATTTCAAAAGCAGAAAAAAAAAGAACGGGCATAAAAGTTCATTTATCAGATTTTTCTTAGAACAATTAGCTGAACTCTGCCTTGTTTATCATTATTTTAGGTAATGATTTATCAAATAAAAAAACACAACATGCAAAATTTGCAATCATCTTTATATTTTGGTCAACTGTAAATTCAAAAAACAGAGGTGAATTTGTGGTATGGAATCATTTCTCAAATAAAGCCTCTCAGTGAAACAGAATCTTTATAATTGGCAATATATCTTTGGAAAATACAGCTGATGTGAAAATGCTAAATTTATATAATGTACTCTGTATGTATGGTGTTTGCAATTCATAGCACTTATTTCTTAATCAAGCTAATATTTAACATTTCATAATTGGAAATAGTTCTTGAAATCCACTGTATTTATTAATAAACCCTTATTAATTTTGTTAATCATTGGACAATAAGGGGTTATAAAAATTGACTTTATATTCAAGGTGCTCCCATATCTACAAAACATATGAACAAATGATTGCCACTTGTGACCTCTTCAACTGGCTTCCAACAAGCAAAGTTAGTGTAGGAAACTGGATTCACTTAACAACCATGGCAGTTTGCTTAACAACTGTGACAAAATAGGTCATAAAATTGGGTACAACTCATTTAATGACTGCCTCACTTAGTAACAGAAGTTCTGATCCCAATTGTGGTTGTAGTCCAATTGTGGACTACCTGTATAGTTTTAATAGATTGTAATAACGGGATATGATTGGTACAACTAAAGAAAGATTTGTAGATCTTTCATACCTGACTCATGGAGGTTTAAATCAGATTTAAACCCAAGTGACTTGGAATCAGAGTTTCTCAAGCAATTCCATTTTGCATAAAAAGTTTGGAGGTTAGGCGAGCGGCCAGGCGAGGTGAGGGGCCGCATGAGGCAAGGCCCCTTCGATGTGAGTGATGTTGAGTTAGCCACACCCACCCAGTCACATAACCCTCAGACACGCCTACTCAGCCGGTCATTAGGGCAGAAAACCGGTTGTTAAATTATTTGAATCCCACCACTGATTCTTTCTATAATGCATATATCATCCTTTGACATGAGCAAAGACCAAATTGCAAGCAACTGTGGATTCAAGCAGTGAATGAAAACAACAGTGGGCTTGTTTAAGTTAATTCTATTCCTCACATGAGCTAAGAGGAAAATATTTCTCTTTTAAATATTGTATATACAAAGGCAATATCAGTATTTCTAATGCAATGATTTTGATAACGACGTCTAAGTAACATGCAGTTCAAAATTAAAATAAAATCTCCATGAAGGATTTTGTCTTTAGAACTGGAGAATATGCTAATAATCTTTCTGGCATTTTGTACAGCATAGTAGTAGTACAATGAGGTTATTTGAAGGCCAATATCTGGGCTTCAAAAGTTCAGGAAGGTGTTTTGGGGATTTCTGAATGTTTGTTTCTGAGATATGGAAAATGAAGTTTCTGCTGTTCTAGCAACCTTGGTAACTGCTCAGACTTGGCATCCCTGTCCATGTGGAAGGTACCTTGTTGCTTGCTTTGTAGCTAATGTACACAATGAGTAGTATTTGCAGTTTATACAGGTAGTTCTCAACTTATGACTACAACTGAGCCAAAAATTATGTTGCTAAGCGAGACAGTTGTTAAGTGAGTATTGCCCTATTTTAAGATCTTTCTTGCCACAATTGTTAAGTGAATCACTTCAGTTGTTAAGTTAGTAGTCAGTTGTTAAGTGAAAAATGTTAAGTGTATGTAGAAACCAGCTGGACATCAAATATCAAAATTCTAGTGCATTTGGCTTCATTTGTGGAATCAAAATAGAAATGAAAATAAGAATTTCAGAGAGACATATATTGACAGTTTTCTGTAGGTTCTATTATAATTAACAATAGCACAAAATTCAATGTTGCTGTTTTCTGTGATCTTTAAAGAGTTGAAAAATAAACATTACAAGGTTACATAAAGACCATTCTTGGAAGGTCATCTCTGATTCAAGCCATTTGAAGGTGTGTATCACACATTATTTTTCCCCGCTGTGCTGGAAATAGGCTCATGGATCCTCCTGCATATCCCAGCAGAACCTGAAGGGCAGCTTTTCCACCCTCTCCTTAAAGACATGGTCAAACCTTTCACTCTGGGCAACAGTCATGATGTTCTTCCAGTCCCCAACAATGCCTGGAAAACAGTGGTTAAAACAATGTCAACAGTTTAATGGCTTGCAAAACATAACTAAATTGGGACATTGCACAATTCTCCGTTACCAGTTGACTGCTTAGTCACCTCCTTGTCCATCAAACAGTTCTTTAAAATCTGTATTTATAGTTCTTGGAGAGGAAGCTGGTTCCTTACTATTTTAACTAGAGCTGGGTTACAGAGTGAAGACTTGATAGAAGATTAATCATGGAACTAATAGTCTGCCAGGGAGGTTCAAATGATCTTGAATTCATCCTGTTGGAACTGGCCCCATGATTAAGGGAAATAATTGATGGTTCTTTGAGCATTGTCTATGTCCACATAGGCTTAAAGGAGGCACTTCTAAGACTGGAGAACAGTAGCCAGGGTAGAGTGAAGAGGCTATGTCTCCACCACTTAAAAGTGGCCAGTGTGAACTACAACGATCCCACTCCCTAAGGATCAGTGGTGAAATTCAGCCGGTTCTATCCGGATCGCACGATCCTGTAGCACCGGCTGCGGGAGGCTCCGCCCACTCACCCGGACATCATCACATCTTGTTTTTGACCCTCTGTGCATGCTCAGAAGGCTTGTGCATCTGTGGAGGAGGCGTGTGCGCTCACATTTGCGAACCGGTAGTGAAGGCAAGTGAATACCACCCCTGCTAAGGATCATTTGACTATGTAAGCAACAGACTGGTCATAGAAACTGTCAGATTATATCCATGCCAAAAATTTGTCAGGATGAAAAAGAGAACACTACTTTAACATTGGTACAGCTAAGAAAGATGTTGGGACATGTCTATACAACTTAAAAGGCATCTTTCAGATGAAGGGAGTAATCCTGGTCTCAGATGAAGCCTGGCAGGTCCCACAAGCATAGCCTCAGGAGTAGGAACTACTACTGATTTACCTTTGCGAAGAAACTCCCCTTTGCTGAAATCCAGCTGATCAGAAGACAAGAATCTGTAGTTTGTTCTAGAATCCATTTTCATGTTCTCAAATGTAGCTTTATCTACCACATCATCCATCTCCTTTTCACTTAGTTCTTTTCCTAGAAAGTTGCATATTTTCAATACTGAACTTCTCAGATCCTGCAATTTGATAAAGCTTATATTAGATCATCCATATTAATGGAGAAAAGACACACACACACACACACACACACACACACACACATCTTATATATAAAATCTTACATATAACATCTTATCTTATACACACACATAGGACTGCAAGATGATCAAACCGGTCAGTCCTAGAGGAGATCAACCCTGACTGCTCTTTAGAAGGCCAGATCCTGAAGATGAAACTCAAATATTTTGGCCACCTAATGAGAAGGAGCCTAATGCTGGGAAAGATTGAGGGCAAAAGAAGAAAGGGACAACAGAGAATGAGGTGGCTGGATGGAGTCACTGAAGCAGTCCGCAGGAGCTTAAATGGACTTCGGGGGATGGTAGAGGACAGAAATGCCTGGAGGAACGTTGTCCATGGGGTCAGTGGGATGGATCAGACACAACTTCGCAACTAACAACAAATACATACAAATATATATTCATTTTCTTACTGAAAAAAATATTGAGATTGTGATTTGTATTTTTTTTTTATGAGCACTGTACATTGACATAGCAAGCAATAGCAATGTACTAGACACAGAAAAACTTCCCTAGTTTTTCCCTAGTTTTTCCCTAGTACTGTTGCTACAGGTTTTCAAGTGGCAAACTTTTGAGAAACATTTCTGGTTCTCAATATATTTATATGTCACAATTTCCCTAAGATTCAGATTCTTACATTCTTAGCAATTTGGCCCCGCATTAGAGACTGGCCAGTTGTCAAGTCAGGTTAAATAAATGCCTTGGCCTCTCTTGAAAATGATAGCTGCAGTTGAGTTGAATCAGTTTAGTTTGAGCCAAAACAAGAGAATATTAAATGAGACTTTGGCCAAAATTTTGCTGAATTAGAAACCCATTGTGCTTACTGGATTGCCCTTATCTACTAAGTCAATAGCTCTATCAAAGAATAAGATTAACTTTATTTTACCTAACCTGTCTGCAACAATTACAAACTGGCTCCTATAATTTATAGCATGTCTGCATAAGTATTTACAAATACACTGTTTATTAATCTGATGTCAAGGTGGCAACAGTCTAATTTTCTGAATCCTCCTCCTTCTTATTGAAGAGGGAGCACTTACTTTTTTTGAAAAACCTCACCAGTCCTCCAGGTTTTCACAGAAATAACCAAGAGTGGTTCTGTAATCACCTCTGTAACTTCCTTCTGCAATAGGTTATTCTAAACATTCCATCATTTCCCATCATTTCTAAAGCTTAATAGTCGTATTGCACTACATGACATGGATGCCACTGACCTTTTTCATTTCTTCATAAGAAAGGAAGAGAATATTGAAATCATCCTTATGAGTGCACCAGCCTTCTATATGGTCTAGCCAGAAACCATTGCCCACTGATAGGAGAGAAATGAATTTAGCGTAAATAGGAGAGTAGTGTTAAAAGTCACGTGATTTACCATATTTTTCGAAGTATAAGACGCACCTTCCCCCCCCGTAAAAGGGGGTGAAAATTTAGGTGCGTCTTATACACCAAATGTAGCTCCACCCACCCACTAGCCCCACCCTTTGGCTTCTGCCTCGCAGCAGTTACCTCCTTGCAAGCAAAAGCAAGAAAAAACAGCTCCTTTCAGCTTCAGCACAGCCTAATTAGCACAAGTTGATTGGATCGGCCTCCCGACTCTCAGCTGATTTGCTTTCAGCTGTTTTGGGGAGGGTTCTGCTGCTTGCTGCAAAGAGGTAAATTGCTGGAGCAGGTTTTTTTTCCCCTTGTGCTAATCAATCTATGCTGAAAACGAAAATGAAAGTAAAGCAGGCTGTTTGCTGTTTGCTCCAGCGAGACAAAATTGCTCAGAGGCAGGGGGAGATTTCTTTTTCTTCTTTTCCTCACCAAAAAAGGTAGGTGCGTCTTATACCCTGAAAAATAGTATAATATTTTTCAGAGTATTATAATAGTTCAATTGCAGCTGACTGATTGTCTTAGGGATGTATTCTTAATGCTTGAATTTCCTCCATTTATCCTTATGAGCCTGGAGGCCTTCATATTGAAGTATGATTGAAGCATGCACTAATAACACTGGATATGTAGTGGAGAGACAAGGAATGGGAGCCATAACAAATGTGGTTGCATACTCTTACTTGCTAAGGGGAGGGAGGGAGTTCTGTCAAGATATCACTATTTTGTTTTGTTCACTTTTGCTAATTTGAACTATTTTTTATACTTCTGCAAATTTATTTATTTTTATGATTTGTATTTCACCTTTATTATGTTTACAAATAGCACAAGGTGCTGAAAATATTCAACACACCTTCCTCCTCCTGTTGTCCCCAAAACCACCCTGTGAATTGAATTGGGTTGAGAGAGAGAATGATTGGCACAGGGTCACCCAGCTGGCTTTCATGGCTAAAGCAGAACTCACAGTCTCCTGCTTTCCATTCTGGTGCCTTAATCACTAGACTAGACCAAATCACTAGACTAGACCATATTGCTGAGTACATTGTAAGCCACCCTGAGTCTCCGGAGAAGGGCGGCATATAAATCAAATTAAAAAAAAAAAAATCAACTATCAGATTTATTCCTGTTAGCTCTCTTCTGTTATCAATCCTTAAATGCTCCTCATGGGATTGCACTTTTAGAAAATATTTGGTTCTTTACAGGGGTGAAATCCAGCAGGTTCTGCCAGGTTCTGGAGAACTGGTAGCGGAAATTTTCAGCAGTTTGGAGAACCGGTAGTGGAAATTTTGAATAGTTTGGAGAACCGGCAAATACCAGCTCTGGCTGTCAACAGGAGAGGGGAGGGAATGGGGATTTTGCAGTATCCTTCCCCTGGAGTGGGGTGGGAATTGAGATTTTGCAGTATCTTTCCCTTGCCACGCCCACCAAGCCACACCCACCAAGCCACACCATGCCCACCAAGCCACGACCACAGAATCGGTAGTAAAGAAAAATTTGGATTTCACCACTGGTTCTTTAGATATTGCAATTTTTTTTTAAAAAAATGGGATAACTCTCAAGCTTTCAAATGAATATTGATTTTTGTTAATTTTAGATTCTGTCTGTCTATTCCCAACACAATTACATTCTGATTTTAAACCACCAAATAACTTATTTCCATTTTTCTCAACATTAATGAATTTCTTGTCTCGGTCTTTTAATAAAGTGCCTTCTCTTGCCTTTCCCAGTCACTTTTACAGCATGAGTTGTCCTAGGACTTCTGTATTCTTCTCCATACATTCATGTTTGTCTATACAAATTACTGCAGAAGTAAATCATTATTCCTATCTTACTTTAGGGGAGAGGGTGGATTCTTTGCTCCATGTGGGAAGTGGATTGAAATATATTCATACTTTCTTGTCCAAGATCAACAAATGACAAGCATTATCATCATCAAGATCTTCTTACCTTTGCCAGCCAAAAACTTCTCCAAGAATGTATCAAAGTCTTTTGGAGTTTCTAATGGAACTGAAACTTTGTGAAAATGATACATAGAAACCAAGCAATCCTTTGGATTTCTAAACACATAAATAATCTGTAGCAGAAAAATAATACCTAGGTCAAAAAAAATGAAATAAAAACAGAAAAAAAGACAAGACTGCCAGCATACAGTGAGTGCATCAATTAACTCTCATACAGTTATGTGGTAGGCACCCTTCTATCATGGGATCTTGAAGCTCATTGGTAAAACAATATTTTGAGAACTTCCCAGAAGGCCAACAGGGCTGTGACTAGCCTCACCTTGGGGAGAATGATATTCCTTCCATAGGGCAGGGCCCATAGCAGAAAATGCTTTCTATCTAGAACCTGCCCAAAAAAACTCCCTCCTTGACAGGACCCCCATGCTTCTCCAGATGGACTTGTTAGGGGAGGTTAGGGGAGGGAAAGTCCTTCAAATAACCTGTTCCCACTCAAGAAGGGCTTTAAACTTCATAATTAAAGTTGAAGTTTAATTTGAACTTTGAAATGGACCGGGAAGCAAACTGGTAGCCAATGCAGTTTGCAATGCAGAAGTATAATGTATGCTGTTCTTGGAGAACATACAAAATCCCATGATGCTAATTTTGAACCAGCTGAAGCATCTCATCATCTTCAAGGGCCATTGCAAAAAGCAGCTCCATATTAAAGCTGTTATAGTCGTTCATCAAGGAGAAGACTAGGGCATGAGTGACTGAGAGTAGCAGTCTCCCCTGAAGAGATTTGAAGGCTAAAGGGATGAGAGCCAGTTTAGTTTAGTGCTTAAGGCACTAGGCTAAAAAGCAAGACACTGTGAGTTCAAGTCCCACCTTAGCCATGAGAACTGGGTGAGTGACCTTGGAGCAGGCACTCTCTCTCAGCACAACGCACCTCACAGGATTGTTGTTGTGGGGAAAATAGGAGGAGGAAGTGTGTTGGATATGTTCGTTGCCTTGAGTTATTTGTAAAAATAATAAAGATGGGGGATATATCTACTCGTCAATGTGGCATCTTCTGGATATGTTAACATTACAACTGGGGATTTGATAGAGATCATTACAATCCACTTGGAAATGTCATTATGGGGAAAATAAGCTTAAGGTTTAAATATTTCTATATATGAATCTTCAGTTTGGTTCTTAGCCTATTTCTGATATGCATGACACCTGTTTTGTTTGAGGTATTTTTTCCCCTCACACTTCAAATTTTGTTATCATCCACCAAACACAATGGATCAAAATAGCATTTGTTCCTTTGTCCTTGCCCATTTGTCAATAAAATGTTCAGATACACAACTAAAAGAATAGAAGACAAACAGCTCCCCACTCCATTCCATAATGTAGCAAAATAGGTTTTACCTTTGCTTTTTTATTTCGTAATCCTTTGGGTGCCAAATAGTAGGGCAGATGGGAACAAATGATACGAGGTGATGGGAGATTGGTCAAATCCACCCGGAAAAGATTATATTCTAGCCATGGTATTCTGTCGAGCAGGGTAATATTTTCAGTTCCATCTCGATGACCTTCATGAAAAATCAAGCTCAGAATGTTCTGAGTCCACACTGTGCCTGTAAATAAGAAATAATTAAATTAATTCACCCAGAGCCATCATTATTTGGAGAATGCTGAAGTTACATAGAGGAATCTTTTTTATCAGGAAGAATAGTAAATGTTTCAGAGAACATAAAAGCAATAGTTTCTTCTACAATAGTTGATGCATGTATGAGAGAAAATGAGCCCTGTAAAGAAAAATAAAATGGTGATAATGCAGATTTAGCAGCTTTATTTTACCTACATTTCCAGCTTCTAATAAAATGCCAAACATTAAAATCTGATTATAGCATAGCACAGTTTAGCAACCAAAATGCTAAATTAAATAATTGGATAAAAGATTAAACGTTCCTCAGAAAATATCATTGAACTTACCAGATTTGGGATAGGTGATTATAAATATATCATCATCTTGGATTTCAAACCTTTCTGCTAAATCAATATTTTCAGGTGTGGTCTGGTTTTGCATAAAATAAAGTCCTTTGTATTTAAATAGGTACTTATTTACTATCTCCATTATTAGATCTGTTGATAAAATAATAGAGTAATTGTCAATCATTTCTACACTTATGATGCATATTATATTAATTCAGTTATTTAAAAACCATGATTCCTGGCAACATAAATTAAAACAAAATATATTACTAGATTAGTTAATTCATTTTAGGAACTCAATTTACACCCATGAAAACTCCCATTGCAAGGAGTAAATTTGCTGTTCTTCTTTGGCATATAAGAGTTTTCTTTAGAAATTTTAATTACAATGTTAAAAAACGTAATAGTTGCAATTCTCTTTTCTTTTTCTGTTGCCTTATATAGTCTCTGATAGTACAGGTAGTCCTGAACTTATGACTATAATTGAGCCTAAATTTTCTGTTGTTAAGTGAGACATTTGTTAAGTGAGTTTTGCCCCATTTACGACCTTTCCTACTACAGTTCTTAAGTGAATAATTTTGGTTGATAATTTAGTAATATGGTTAAGCGAATCTGGCTCCCCCATTGATTTTGCTTGTCAAAAGGTTGCAAAAATGATCACGTGACCTTGGGACATAGCAACGGTTGTAAGTATGAACCAATTGCCAAGCATCTGAATTCTGATCACATGATCATAGGGATGCTAGAAAGGCTATAAGTGTTAAAAATGGTCATAAGTCACTTCTTTCAGTGCAACTGTAACTTTGAATAGTTGCTAAATGAACTACAGTGCTTCCTCAATTTTTTTTTTTTTGTATTCCTATAGAGCACTCCAATATTTAAGGAAGGCTGATCTTTAGTCAGTCATTGGCTAAAACTGCCAGTATGTTATCGGAACTGATACATTTTGATTTTTTTAACATTCATTTTTGCTTTATAAATAATTAGGAGTGTTGATAAAATAGATACTAGTTACTTGCAAGAACTTTGAAATGAAGAATTGAAATTCTTATACTGTGCCTGACACCATGGAGTAAATGGTGAAGGCTCAAGGCAGTGGTGGGATCCTCCTGGTTTAACAACCGGTTCGGTGATCGTGCGCTTTGCATGCACGCCTGATGTGCGTTGCGCGTGCATGCGCCATTTGAAAAAAATCTTCACTTCTGCATTTCTTGGAGGAGGAACACAGCTGAGGTGCGGCAATCTGCTCTGCTGCGCGAATCAGCTGAGAAGATAAAGGTAGGAAAATAGTGTGGGCGGGGGGGCAGGTGGCTCATGTGATCATTGGGGTGAATCGGTTCGCGCCCAGCTGGTCATCGGAGCTACCGGTTCACCCGAACCGGTCCGAACAAGTAGAATCCCACCCCTGGCTCAAGGCTTCTCTCTTAAAGGCCTTCTGTGTCTTCTCACCCGGCCTCACCTCATGCTTTGAGAGTGCATCTTGGTGGCCTTCACCAAACCCTTCCATCTTTCAACAGATGCCTTGCCTGACTTCCTTTCTTTCCCTATTGTATTGAGAGAAGAGGTTCTTACACCCTGCTGTTTTCCCAGATGTAAAGTCAAAAAAGGGGAAATAGAACAACATCTATAGCACCAATTTCAGATCGTATAAGATTGAGGAATGTGACAGGAGTAATCAATCTTTCATTTCTCCCACCCCATCTTGGCAGCAAAACAATCTCATGAAGAGACAATAAATTAAAATTTTATTTTAAAGATAGAAAGAAAAAAGTTTTAAATGTTAGCATGCAAATCATTCCATGGTGAAGGAAATAAATGTAACTTGTTTTTTTTTCCAAAAACTATTTTCAGCCACTTGCTTCATTAATAAGATTTATCCTTGCCTCAATACTTAAAAGACTCTTTGTTATTTTTCAGATGTTAATTCTAAATAAATAATCGAATAAAATAAATAAATAAAGGTAAAATAAAAAAGATACTAAATAAAATGATACTAAATAATAACTAGGGAAAGATTACTGCAACCCCTCCAATTGATGCAGCATGATACCATGGTCGATGGTATCAAAAGCCGCTGAGAGGTCTAATAGGACCAGGACAGAGGAACAACCCCTGTCCTGGGCCCTCCAGAGATCATCAACCAATGCGACCAATGCCGTTTCCGTGCTGTACCCCGGCCTGAAGCCCGACTGGCACGGATCTAGATAGACAGCTTCATCCAGGTACTGGGGAATGCTGAAGTTACATAGAGAAACCTTTTTTATCAGGAAGAATAGTAAATGTTTCAGAGAACATAAAAGCAATAGTTTCTTCTACAATAGTTGATGCATGTATGAGAGAAAATGAACCCTGTAAAGAAACCTCCAGGGGCAGGACATTCCAGAGGGCAGGTGCCTCCACAGAGAAGGCTCTCCCCCTGGGTGTCGCCAGTCGGAAAGTACCAGACCATTAAAGGTGAAGATGGTATTGATGAAGCCACTCTGTCTCCCTGAAAGGCACACTGAAAATGCCTGCCAGAGCCCAGTCTCTATGCAGGGGTCAAACTGGCGGCCCGCGGGCCAGATGCATCTTGCGCAGGCAACGCCCACCCCAGCTCCACAAAGGGAAAAAAATTTGTGGAACATCATGTGATGACAACTTGATGCCAGGAGTTTGACATCCGTGAGATGCTGAACTTTTGTTGCAAACAGGGAAATAACATTCACAGCTGTGTTTTAAGACAAGTTGATGTAGGGGGAATTCGGTTACCAGAATGCCCCAGCCAACATGGGCATTTTTCAGAAATTTAAAAGTTGAATTTCTAGAAGTTGATTTACAGCAATGCTCTATATATTAATGAATTAATGGCTACGGGTTCTAAAAAAGATCCTGAAAGCTTTTTGTACTTTGAAGATGATATTCAAAATGAAGAAAATGTGTGTATTGTTATTATTATTGGACATATCAGAGAAAGGATTCAGTGGAAATGTAAAATAGAAGAAGGGGCACTTTCTCATCTGATGTAGATTTATAACACTCTTATTTTACTTTGGACTAGTATCAGTGGTGAACTTCAGCCACTTCTATCTGGATCACAGGATCCAGTAGCGCCACAGACAGGAGGCTCCGCCCACCCGCCCAGACGTCATCACGTCCCGTTTTTTACCTTCTGCGCATGTGTGGAACATGCTCATATTTGCAAACCAGTAGCGAAGGTAAGTGAATACCAACCCTGACTAGTACCTATAAATTTATTAAAGTGTTTTTAAATATTAGTATGTTTTAAAGATGAAAGTATACTTCTATATGCCCAGGATTTGGAATATATCATTATATGAAGCATTATGGATTTATAAAGTATGGAATGCAGATCTTATTGTTTATACCCAGATTAAATCTTAGATTAATTATATATGTTTCCTTTCCATATTAATTATATATGTTTCCTTTCCATATATAAATGGGCACATGGTATCATTAAAAAGTTGAGCAGTATTATTTTGTGTGAGTGATTTTTCAAAGTTTAACATAGTTAGTTAGTTTAGTTAGTTTATTAAATTTCTATACCGCCCTTCTCCCGAAGGACTCAGGGCGGTGTACAGCCATTTAAAACACACATAAACTCACAAAATTTAAAAACAATTTAAAACGAATATATTAAATTTGACCCACAAAGTTAAAAATTGACAAACAACCCAATTTAAAATTCATATTCTAGGCCAGCCCGGCCTGTTGGAACAACAGGGTCTTAAGGGCACGGCGAAAGGTACGAAGGTCGGGGATCATACGAACCTCCAGGGGCAGGACATTCCAGAGGGCAGGTGCCTCCACAGAGAAGGCTCTCCCCCTGGGTGTCGCCAGTCGGCATTGTTTGGCCGACGGCACCCTGAGGAGTCCCTCTCTGTGGGAGCGTATTGGCCAGTGGGAGGCTATCAGTGGCAGAAGGTGATCTCATACATACCCAGGTCCTAAGCCATGGAGTGCTTTAAAGGTGGTAACCAGCCCCTTGAATCGCACCCAGAAGACCACCGGGAGCCAGTGCAGCTCATGCAGGAGAGGTGTTACATGGGTGCGCCGTGTCGCACCCATAATTACCCGCGCAGCCACATTCTGGACCAGTTGGAGCCTCCGGGTGCTCTTCAAGGGGAGCCCCATGTAGAGAGCATTACAGTAGTCCAGATGGGACGGGACGAGGGCATGAGTGACCGTGCGCAGGGCGTCCTGGTCCAGAAAGGGACGCAACTGGTAAATCAGGCGAACCTGATAGAAAGCTCCCCTGGCCACAGCCGTCAGATGGTTTTCTAAAGACAGCTGTGAGTCCAAAAGGACACCCAAGTTGCAAGCCCTCTCTGAGGGGGTCAAGGTCTCACCCCCAATAGTCAGTGATGGAGGTAGCTGGCTATATCGGGATGCTGGAAACCACAGCCACTCAGTCTTGGAAGGGTTGAGTCTGAGCTTGTTTCTCCCCATCCAGATCTGCACGGCCTCCAGGCACCGGGACATCATGTCAACGGCATTATTGGGGTGGTCCGGGGTGGAGATGTACAGCTGAGTATCATCAGCGTATTGACGGCACTTCACCCCAAAACCACGGATGATATCACCCAGCGGCTTCACATAAATGTTGAACAGAAGGGGCAAGAGGACCGACCCTTGCGCCACCCCACAAACAAGGCACCTTGAGGTCGACCTCTGACCCCCTGCCAACACAAACTGTGTATGGTCAGAGAGGAAGGAGGAGAACCACCGCAACATGGTGCCCCCCACACCCAACCCCTCCAATTGACGCAGCATGATACCATGGTCGATGGTATCAAAAGCCGCTGAGAGGTCTAATAGGACCAGGACAGAGGAACAACCCCTGTCCCGGGCCCTCCAGAGATCATCAATCAATGCGACCAATGCTGTTTCCGTGCTGTACCCCGGCCTGAAGCCCGACTGGTACGGATCTAGATAGACAGCTTCATCCAGGTACTGGGGAAGTTGTCGCGCCACCACACTCTCAACATAGGCTGCTATTGTCATCTTTTTCTGATGATTTTTGCAATTTAGTTATTGGCCCATTGTTTTTTTCCTTCTAGAAAGTGTTGGCCCAGTCCATCATTGGATTCATTTTATCTGGTACAATTGGGTGATAATATCATGCTGAGTAGAGGAAACTAGGATCTAATGCTTTATTTTTGCACAGAAATAAAAATGCACATTTGGGATCCAAGTCCAACTCAAGTGTGCCTGCAGATATGCAACAGACTGTTTTTATACCAGAAAACCACAACTACTCATCAGAATTTCCTTATGTTTCATCACATGATCCTGTTTTATTGAAGACATGTAACATCCAGTGGAAAAATTTCAAAAACTTTTACTACTGGTTCTATGAGTGTGGCTTGGTGGACGTGGTAGGGGAAGGATACTGTAAAATCTCCATTCCCACCCCACTCCAGAGGAAGGATACTGTAAAATCTTCATTCCCTCCCCAAACTAGGGAAAGGTTACTGCAAAATCCCAATTTCCTTCCAATCAGCTGGGACTTGGGAGGCAGAGATTAGATGCAGGCAGGGCCAGTCAGAATTTTTACTACCGGTTCTCTGAACTACTCAAAATTTCCACTACCGATTCTCCAGAACTGGTCAGAACCTGCTGAAACCCACCTCTGGTAACATCCCATAATAAGCACAGAGTGTACTTAATTATCTAAGTTCTTCACCTGTAATTTGTTTCTAACATATTAATGATTAACTTTCTACCTTTGGACTTTGCCTGGACATTCTTGACAGCACTTAAGCTAAATGCCACATTATCTTTCCCTGTTCTAGCAAGGGGCCCACTTGCACAATTCTTCAGCCACAACCTGCCAGTTAGACAGACATTTCTTACATAATGAAGCATTTAACGTCAGCCTGGTTTTAATTATGTCTTTAATTAATTAATTAATTAATCTGGTTTTAATTATGTCTTTTAACTTTTGTATCTATGTGTTTTATTTTGTGCCTGTTCACCGTCCTGAGTCCTTCGGGAGTAGGGCGGTATATAAATCTAAGAAAAGAAGCCTCCTTAGCTCTTTGCTAACAGATACCAAAGCCAGTGCTAAATTAGATTGCTGATTTCAGCAACAGAATGAATAGCATGGCTCACTTGCAAAAGCACCTAACAGTTTGATAACAAGTTAATAGGCCAGCCCCTCAGATCCTCAATGTATTGATGGACAAAGCTGGCCCCAAAGCAGGTTCTGCCTCGGCTTACCTCTTCTTATCAGCAACTGAGTTGGAAGATCATTTAAATGTCTCTTAGGAGAAGGAGGAAACAACACTCTTGCCATCTCATAACTCATAACTATACAAATCTATACAAATAACTTGAAACTATACAAATCCTGCTCACAGCGACAAACAGAGCAGTTTAAGAAAACTGTAGAAGTATGAAAAGAATGGCCAGGAATAAGTGTGTACATAGGTAGTCTTTGACTTGCACCACAACTGTGCCTGGAATTACAGTCATCACTCATAGCGATCGTAAATTGAGTCACCACTTGACCTAAATCAAGTACATCTGGCTTTCCCAGGTGTAGTCATTAGGTAACCATGTAGGTTGATAAGCGGAGCACAAAAACCTTCAGAGGGTGAAGGAAGTGAAGACCTGGGTGGCCCACCACCCAGCTGGGTCCAAAAAAAGGGTAAAGGTAAAGGTAAAGGTTCCCCTTGCACATATGTGCTAGTTGTTCCTGACTCTAGGGGGTGGTGCTCATCTCTGTTTCAAAGCCGAAGAGCCATTGCTGTCCGAAGACATCTTCGTGGTCATGTGGCTGGCATGACTGAACGCCAAAGGCGCATGCAATGCTGTTACCTTCCCACCAAAGGTGGTCCGTATTTTTCTACTTGCTTTTTTTACATGCTTTTGAACTGCTACATTGGCAGAAGCTGGGACAATAACGGGAGCTCCCCCGTTATGCAGCACTAGAGACTTGAACCGCTGAACTGCCGATTGACAAGCTCAGTGTCTTAGCCAGCAAGACACCAGCAAAAGCTTTGCTAAGCCAAAAATTGCCAAGCAGGAGGGAAAAGCTTGGCTAGATCTGTGCATGAGCATCCCCTTCCAATGCCAAAGAGGCTCCCAAACAAGTCTGTGCTTGGTGCAAATGAGATATCCTGAACCTTTGAAGCTAGCTTGTGGGCTAGGCCTCTGTCCAGACCAGTGGCACTGAGGAGACTGCCAGCCTCCCCTATTTTTTGATTTTGGGAAGCAAGCTCCGTCCATCGAGGGTAGCAGCTCCCAGATGAGCTTTTCAAAAACCTTTCTCTTGCTTTAGCCCCTCCCTCCACAAACCCACATTTTTTTCAATGAATGAAACGAAACAAAGCAAAAAATGCCGGAGGGAAAAGACTTGTTGATCTTTCTCCCTTCCTCCTCCCCCAATTTAGTGCAGAAGCTAAACTTTCTGCCTCTGCCCTCCAATCTCCCTTCCCTTTAATAACGTAATTTGCTAAATTTACTATGCACGTAAAGAGGGTGTCAAAATGTGTGACTTACTTTGATTGATGACGGGCTGGTTGAGGAGCGGAGAGAAAGAATCACCCAGGAGTTTATTTTTTAAGAAAAAAAAGTGGGGAGGAAGTGGAATGGAAACTCCCAGAACAACTTTGCCTCCTTCATCTCCCCTCCCCCTGTATAAAATTTCACTCCACCCCTTCCAGCCTTCTTATGGATAAACATAAAGCTGTGATTCTGCACAGTCATGTTTATGACAGGCATGCCCAGGACACATGAGCCATGTCAGAATTCATGTTTGGGTCTACTTAAAAGTGATTCTGCACACACACTGAGTTCTAGATGTGTCAGATACAGGCCACTCTGAAGTTCAACTGTTTAAACTTCTGTGTGCATTTGAAAATAATGTAGCAGCTTCGGATTCCAAAGTGTTTAATAACAGTTCTGCAAATCAAATTGTTAGACACCACCAACATGTGGGGCAACTCAGGGCCTCTGCTAACAGAATGCAACAAAGCCTGTTGTTGGGGTTTTGGTAAAGAAACCGATTTCTTCAGACTTATCGTTTCTGTAAACCACGTTGTAATTTTAGTGATCAGAGCAGTGGAAGACTTAGGATGTATCCTGCAATTCTCACTAGTCAGACTGTGGAATTGTGAATGGTCCATCTGTAATGCCCAGGGAAGGACACAGAGTGAATAACTGGTTTTATTTATTGTTATGTAAATGGCAGTGGTGCAGGGAGCACACTAACAGGATATATTTTATATTTTGCAGACTCTGAATTAACACCCAGCAACAATCAGTTCAAAGCATCTTATTTTTTATACATCTATGGAAATTGTAATAGTCACAACTCTTCTGAAGGTTTTTCTGATGTAGTATATAGCCACTGTCAGAGAACATGCTATTTCCATAGTGAGTTAAAGGGATGCAATTCAACTGACGATCAACTTACGGTTACTTACGAGACCACCTTCTGCCTCCGATAACCTCCCACCGGCCAACACGCTCCCACAGAGAGGGCCTCCTCAGGGTGCCATCTGTCAGGCAATGTCAGCTGGCGACACCCCGGGGAAGAGCCTTCTCTGTGGGGGCACCTACCCTCTGGAATGAGCTACCCCCAGGGATACGACTAATCCCGGACCTCCGGACCTTCCGCTGGGCCCTTAAGACTTTTTTATTTCAGAAAGTCGGGCTGGGTTAACAATTTTTTTATTGGGGAATTTTATGGGTAAGGGGTTTTAAATTGGAGAAGCCAAAGATAATTTAATTTCGTTTTAATGTATTTCAATATTTGTATTGTGTGTTTTTAATTCTGGCTGTTCACCGCCCCGAGTCCTTCGGGAGAGGGGACGGTATAAAAATTTAATAAATAAATAAATAAATAAATAAATAAATAAACTTCCTTGTGATTATTGGCATGATCTGCAGGGTATAAATTGTCCAAAAATGGCAATGTATTTTACTGTACAATAGCATGTTATGACACCTTAACTTCTGATAGTGATAGTGATGATGAGGGGTATTTTTCCAATGGCCTAAATATGCCATTCTGAACTCTGAATGACCAATAATAGCCTTAGCCTTAACAATAGCAATAGCATTTAGACTTATATACCGCTTCACAGTGTTTTTATAGCCCTCTCTAAGCAGTTTACAGTGTCAGCAAATTGCCCCCAACAATCTGGGCCCTCATTTTACCAATCTTGGAAGGATGGAAGGCTGAGTCAACCTTCAGCCTGGTGAGATTCGAACCGCTGAACTGCTAGCAGCCAGAAGTCAGCGGAAGTAGCCTGCAGTACTGCATTCTAACACTGCGCCACCACAGCTCGTACAATATAATAAAATAATGTATTAAAGAACAATGTGCACTCATTTGTCAGCAGTGTTATAATGGCATGAATCCTCTTTTTCAGGAGGGAAGGTACCAAAGATGAAAGCCTTCTCAAATGCATTTGGATGAAAATTAGAGGAAAATAAATGATATGGCTATGGGTGTATACCACCACTCCCCCAACCAACCAGAGGAGATTGATGAACTTTTCCCTAACGAGTTAGCTAAGTAAACAGAAAATACACAGCTGTAGTAATGGGGGACTTGAACTACTCTGACATCCATTGGGAGACAAACTCTACAGCAAGTGGGGGTTTATATCTGACACAGGGGTGAAATGTAAAATTTGTTACTACCAGTTCTGTGGGCATGGCTTGGTGGTGGTGGGGTAATGTGACTGGGTGGGCGCAGCCAACTTTTTTTAAAAGAAAAAACTTTTCAAAGCATTTTTTCTAATGCTTTGAAAAGCCTCTGCCAATCAGGCAACTCAGCTGGGATCGTCAGAGACTTTTCAAAGCATTTTTTTAACCGCCTCTTTGGCCAAAAGGTTGCAGAAAAAAATGCTTTGAAAAGTCTCTGATGATCCCAGCTGAGCTGCGCTATCATTAGAGGCTTTTTTTTTAAAACTTTTAAAAGCATGTTTTCATCGGAAGAGGTTGCAGAAAAAATGCTTTTAAAAGTAAAAAAAAAAAGGCCCTGATGATCGCGCGGCTTAGCTCGGCATGGTGTGTGTGGGTGGGTGGGTGGGGGCAGGGATTTTTGCTATCGGTTCTCCGAACCACCCGCTGCCATCGCTACCGGATCAGGTGATCCGGTCCGAACCGGGAGCATTTCACCCCTGATCTGACACCTTTGTCACCCAAAAGAAACAGGAAGGAACTACAGGAACAGCTATACTGGATTTAATTCTTACCAATAGGAATGAAATGAGAGATAAATGATAGAACAGGTAGAAGTTGTAGGAACCCGAAGGAGAATAATTATACATGCAACATAATGACCATACCGTACTATTCATTCAACATAATGCAGGCACAGGTAATTGAACTAAGTCAAATTAGTGTTTTAAATTTTAAGAGGTTATTTTAACAAATTAAGACAGAGATTAAGAAAGATTTCATGGATGGAAATCTTAAAGGGAAAAACAATTCAAGATGCTTGGGAAATTCTGAAAAATAAGATCATAAAAGCAAAAGGAAAAAATAGTCCATCCTACCAAAAAGAGCACCATGGGACACAGAACATTAATGCAGGTCAAAATAGGCAAGAAATTGATAAGAAAGCACAGCCAGAGAACGGGAAAAGAGCTAATGTGGTTCCAATCTAGCAGAAAGGGATACTGGATCCAGAAAACTACATACCAATCAGCCTGACATCAATAACTGAGGAAATCCTGGGAAAGATAATCAAGCAGCAGATTTCTTAGCATCTAGAAAGCAACTACCAAAAGCCAGTGTGAGTTTGTTAAAAATAGATCATCCGCTCAAGACCTTATTACCTTCTTTGATAACATGACTAAATTACTTTATCAGAGAAACTCAGTGGATATAATATAGTTAGATTTCTACCCTTGTGGGATAGACAGTACCATCAACAGATGGATTTGCAGTGGCAAACCTCACCCAATGTGAAATCCTAATGAAACTATTTTATATGGAGGGCAGCATGCTATAGGGGTATCTCGCTGTTTTGGGGGCAGTGTTCTTCAAAACCTTTATAGATGGTGTAGATGAGGGGGTAGAAGAGGAACTCTTTAAATTTGCAGACAACATTAAGTTGGGGGAAATTGCTAACACTTTGGAAGATAACACTACTGTCAACCTCACCCCATTCCTAAGAGGTCTTTAAGGGGCATGCTTAAGAGCACCAGCGTGCCTTCCGTCCCTGTCCTAATGTTTCCTTTATTCGTACCCATTTCATGTATTCATAATTATGTTTACACTTGTATTTGTTATCAAATATATGCTTGACGAAATAAATAAATAAAATAAAATAGACTCAAGATTCAGAAGGATCTTGGAAGACTTGAACTGGCTGGTCATAGCCAAAAAATGCATATCAGCGGTGACAAAAGTAAGGTCATGCACTTAATCAGGAAAAATCAAATTCACAGATATAGAATATGTGGTACAATGTGGTATTCAGCAGGTTCTGACCAGTTCTGGAGAACTGGCAGCAGAAATTTTGAGTAGTTCGGAGAACTGGTAAATACCACCTCTGACTGGCTCCGCCCCCATCTATTCTCTGTCTCCCGAGTCCCAGGTGATCAGGAGGAAAATGGGGATTTTGCAGTAACCTTCCCCTGGACTGGGGAGGGAATGGAGGTTTTATAGTATCCTTCCCCTGCCACACTCACCAACTCACGCCGACCAAGCATGCCACACCCACCAAGCCATGCCCACAGAACTGGTAGTAAAAAAATTTGAATCCCACCACTGATGTGGTACCTGGCTCAACAATAGTAATTGTGAGAGGGATCTATGTGTCCTAATGAACCACCACTTGAGTATGATACAGCAATGTGCTGCAGCTGCCAAAAAAGCCAATACAGTCCTAAACTGCATCAACAGAAGGATAGCAGCAAGATCATGAAAAGGGATAGTACCACTTTACACTGCAGTGAAGCCACACTTAAAATACTGCGTCCAATTTGGGTCACCACAATATAAAAAAGATTCTGAGACAATAGTGTGCTATAGCTACCAAAAAAAGCCAACACAGTCCTAGGCTGTATTAGCAGAGGGACAGAATCAAGATTATGTGAAGTAGTAGTACCACAGTATTCCAAGTGTGTAAGACCACGCTTGGAATACTGCACCCAGTTTTGATTACCATGATATAAAAAAGATGCTGAGACTCTAGAAAAAGCACAGAGAAGACCAACAAAGATGATTAGGAGAATGGAAGCTAAAACATTTGAATAACGATTGCAAGAACTGGGTATGTCTAGTTTAATGAAAAGAAGGACTGGGGTGATACGATAGCAGTATTCCAATATCTAAAGGACTGCCAGAAAGAAGAGGGAGTCAACCTATTCTTGCAAAGACAGAACAACAAGAAATGGATGAAAACTAAGGAAGAAAAAAAGCACCTAGAACTAAGGAGAAATTTCCTGACAGAACAATTAATTAGTGGAATGACTTGCCTCAAGAAGTTGTGGGTGGTCCATCACTGGACTTTTTTTTAAAAGAAGAGATTGGACAACCATTTCTCTGAAATGGTATAGGGTCTCCTACTTGAGCAGTGAGTTGGATTAGAAGATCTCCAACGTCCCTCCCAACTCTGT